CAGGTGTTGACTCCCTGTATGTGCGGTGCGAACCGAGCCATACATTTTGAGTGTCTCCGCGACTCAATACTGGCCAACCAGTCGATGATATGCCGGTCCTGTCAGACAACATATGTCGGCGTATATGTCGTGTATCTCAAGAAAACGGTGAATAAGTTTGTGCGCAAACATGTTGTGAGACGTGTGTGATCCAAGAGTGGGTGATTCTTCCCTGATCGCGGTTGCGAACCAAGAAGTGTTGGCGCCCTGACCACCGGTTTAGTGGCCCAAGCACGGGTTAGCTCCCTGACCTCCCAATAGGGCGGCCCAAGAGGTGATAGCAAAACACAGCGGGGTTTTGATATCACAAGACATTTTATGTGACTTAATTTGTTACACAAGTTATACGTTTGATTGCTGGGGGAGAACTGAGGGTTAGAGAGCACAGTCTGCCAGTAAATTTTTAAAAATAATTGACTCAATTAAATAAAATGCAGTTTAAAATTGTACATTAAATACAAATATAATAATTTAAATTCCTTTATAATTAACAAATTATTAAAATGATTTTGGTATATTTTATATTGTTATAATTTAATTCATTTATTATTTAATATAAAGTTATAAATATATGATATAAATATATACATTGTATAATTATTTATTCATTATCAAAATAAAGTAGGATGTGGAAGACTCTATGGCTAATAAAATAATTTTTATTTACCCTACGCATAAAAAGTTGTCTAAATTGTATCTTGGCCTATTTTAAATATAAACATATTCAAAATTAACATATGAAATATGAAATCAATGTAGAATTTAACGGAGAATCAGAATATAGTAATATCACATCAGTAAAATTAAAAGATTTTTTGTAATTTGTGTAAAACTACCAAAACTTATTAAAATAAGTTATTACATCACCACCGACAACCCCACCACAACCCCGACCACCACCCACGACATTACGACAATTATTTCAAAAAACTGAATTTAACTTATAAAATAATTATTTATTATAATTTATATTTTTCTTTAATTTGAGTACCAATTCATGAATAAAGTATATTTTTCAAAAAATTATTAACATATAACGTCAAAATAACAAAAATTGAAATTATAATTTTTAATTTCAAAAATATTTCAAAAACGATATGTCCCATGCAAATTATAATGATATATTCTGATTCTACATTAAATTCCACATAGATCTCATATATCATATGTTAATTTTAATAAGTTTAAAATTCCCGATAAAAGTGGTCACTACGGCCGAACCCAAGGTAGGTACGGTCATATAGATTATATCATTGGACTCCTTATGCACTGTACTTTCATTTTATATTGTCAAATCCCGGTTGCCAGCTTAGCCCAAATCCCGCATCCCCCTTTAATTATTTAATTTAAATAAATATATTTTGAATATTAATGAACTTAACAATCATTCTGTATTAGTGATTAAAAATTATAATTTTGGGTTTTGGTATTGTTTTAATATCAGTTTAACGTTAGTTTAGGGTTGGGTTTAAGTTGGTTTTGATTTGTTTGACTTTTGGTTTGGCTTTGGGTTTGGTTGGGTTTGATTTGGTTTTGGGTGAGTTTGGGTTTGATTTGGTTTTGGGTGAGTTTGGGTTTGATTTGGTTTTGGGTGAGTTTGGGTTTGATTTGGTTTTGGGTGAGTTTGGGTTTGATTTGGTTTTGGGTGGGTTTGGGTTTGATTTGGTTTTGGGTGAGTTTGGGTTTGATTTGGTTTTGGGTGGGTTTGGTTTCGGTTTGGTTGGGCATTTTCTAAGATACTTATCAATCGGTTGAGTTTCTTCCCCACTCGCTTTTCTCCCCTCTTCGATACACTTGATATTAGTGTTAATAAAGGAATTCCATTCACTTCTGGATATATTGAGATGTGGTAAACATGTGCCACTTATAACCTTCGCTGGTATTCTGTGATAACTGGTGTTTCTGCCGCCGACATGAAGCGGCACCTCATCCAGGCTTAGCAACTCTTCGTTCGCCATTTTCTTGGTTTTAATTTTATTACGAATATTGGAGCTAAAGAAGTGGATACCAAAATCAATTATGGCCTTAAATATTTCATTCTCATCGTATCGAATGCACGATTGATTTCTATATTGTTCATTAAGCATAAGAGCTATATCGTAAAAAGAAGCTATTATGTTGGAAACAAAATATGTCAATTAATTGCATTACTATTTAAACAATTGTATTTAATTATGCTCACATAATATAAAATTTTCAAGTTTCATATTCTTGTAACTATAATACACCAGGCCATTTTTATTTTCGCGGACAAAATGAGCGAATATGTGCAAGGCAAATTGCCTGTACAATATGTCGAGGTCCTTGTTATTAGTCAACAGCGAACAGCGGCCCACATAGCCGTAAACGGGTTGACCCGATTTTGAGAACCCGAAGTGATTCGTAAATCCGGTCGCAAAAAACTCCGAGGGGTAGTCTTCGGCCACAAATGGCTTATTTATTGCTTCTGATAATTTAGTGGATTCGGGCAACACTGACAATGGGTTGAAATTTTTAATAATTGAAAGTGATTCTAATAGAGTTAAATTGGAAGTTAATTTGGTGGTGGTAGCAGCCAGTTGTTTCCCAGCCCGTAGTCCAGTATTAACTATTTCAGCGGGGTTGAAAAACCCATGCGACGGCGCAATCGTTTGTAGCAATACTATCAATAAAAATAATTTTATCATTTTAATTTAAGACAACAGATTATACAATAAAAGTACAATTTAAAAACAGGTTGTAATATCTAATTAAGAATAAAAATACGAATGCGATAATATTGAACATTAATTACAAAATTTAATTAAATTACTGCTAATTAAATATTTAACAAATTCAAAACAAGGCAGTCGGGCTGGGGTCAGCTTGCCATCTACAGATCATATTATTAACTAAGTAGAGCGGTTCCATCGAATGTAGCACTTGAACGGATAATCTGATTTTTATTCTGTAGCACATTGATTGGTAGCACAGTTTATTTTATAAAGCAAACTTTATAAAACCGTTTCCAATAATATAGAATTCACCAGGATCGGTTAATATCACTTGTCAGTATCGCAATGTTATTATGTTGTCATGTATTACGGACACACTGTAGGTGTTTAACTCTTATTCCGCACCGTGTGGTCCATCTAACCCCAGTTTGTGTTCAAAAATCAATGGCAAGAAAATTCCAAGAATGCCCCACAAATAATCATTTTTAAATTTATGCAAAATGGTATAGAGATTAGTTAATTGTAAGTACGATTAAAACATGATTTAGTATAAATGGACACCATGAGTGACGGCTCAGACATAGTTTTGGAGACCGACGATAAGATTTTGCGATTTATAACAGACAAGAGGGACACGTATTTCCTTTAAATTCAATCTACTTTTTCTAGTTTTATATAATTATTATTTATGTTATAAATATCTAGTTTAATAAATATCTGAGTAAACATTTTTAAATTGTTTTACAAATAAATATCAAATTTTAAATTTCGATGTTTTCCTTTCGATGTGATCTGATTTGGATTTGAAATGAAGTATAAATCATTAACTTATGAATCAATTTAATCCAAAAATGACATTGATGTTTATGAGCCAATAATCATATTTATTTCTCACAAAACAGTATGCAACTCAACTGTGCAGTTCTAAGCATGTGTTTGAATTAATTACTGTATTAAATTATATGTCAAATTAATGTCTCGTTTGTATGGCTTTAGGTAACGTAACAAAGAAATTGGATATATGTCTGGGTATTGATGCGTTGAAAATGCCGTTTTCACGGCTGGACTCGGCGTTGGGTCTCGTAGTCTATTGGCTGGACGACAGTCTGCGACAAAAGCTGTCAAACGATGTCTCGCATCGCAACCGAGTCCTCCCCTCAACCGATGGTATACTCGTATTCAGGCTTTCGTATTATTTTCAAAGATATTGGTTTAGTATTTATTTCGTATTCAGTAATCGGTATTTAATTGTTATGTTAATTGTTTGAATAGCACTCCAATTAGAGGCAACCAATTAAAGTCATTTGATGTGATAATAGCCATAACCGGACAAAAAGTGAATTCAATGGACGAGTTTTACGCCGCGATCGACGCTTTGAAATGCGGGAAAAGGGTTTGTCTAACGATGAGTGACGGCTCGGAAGTGGTGTTGGAAACCAATGAAAACATTTTGAAGACACTTAACGACAATCAAAACACTTTCTTTGTATGAATGAAATTCGTTGAAATAATTTGTAAATATTTATAATTAAAATAAAATGTTTAATTTGAATGTTTATTCATTGGTTTTGTGTTTTTAAATATTTCATAAATGCTTATCAAATGTATAGTCAAACTAAAAGTTCTTAATTAAAATGAGTGGTATAGAGAACTATTAAATATACTAATGAATCTTTGTCATTTTATACAATTAAAGTCTAAATTAAATACTGAACAAAATATCAATTGGTTTAATATTTAATTAACAAAACTGAAAATATAAACTTTATATATAAATTTTTTAATCTAATATTTTCTGAAATAAAATATTCAAAACTGAAATAAACGCTTAATTTTAATGATAAAAACATTAAGAAATTCAATGAATATATTTGTAATTTATTGTTTAATCAAATTATTATGAGTTTTGTTTCACTTCGACGTCAATAATCTCTTTAATAGTTTGGTTAAAGTGTTGTAAACGACGGATACCTTTAACCGTCTGATTATATGGTTAAATTGCCCAGGCCTATTATATGGTGGTGAAGATAATCGGCCAGTAATTTAATACATTTCATTTACATGAGTGAGAGGGCAGCATAAGCGAGAAAGCTATGCTATGACTAAAAGTCACAGCAATAGTATACATCACAAAAAATCGGCCAACTTTTAGCACAGTATTCTATGCTATGGCTTAGTGCTATGAGTGAAGTGTATGAGGAGAGTGTATGAGTAGAGTGTATGTGTCTGCCTNCTTAGTGCTATGAGTGAAGTGTATGAGGAGAGTGTATGAGTAGAGTGTATGTGTCTGCCTAGACATGCGCTGTACTGTGTGTTTTGCTGTTTACAGTGAATGCAGAGACATCGTTTATAAATTATGTAGTATATATTTTAAACCCCATATTCCTATTTAAATAGGAATATGGGGTTATATTTAAACGTCATTTACTGACACCGGCGGCGGCCAAAGTGTTGAACAAACGTTTTGTAGACTTAAAGCATTGCATTGAATGCTAGAAATTGAATAAAAATTATGCATAAATTGTATGCAATTATGTTTATTATTGTTTTGAAATATCAATGAATGGCAAATGTGGTTAAATTTATTTGCACTCAATGTCAAAGACTTTGTCTTCAAATCCACACAATTTTTAAGTCGTATTATTCGTAAAACATATTGTATTTATTTTTATTACTTCTTAAGTCTTATTAAAATATGTTACTATTTAGTAAAAGTTTTATTCAAATCATTTTAGAAATTATACAAGTTTTTAATTATTCACAATACGTTTTATTTTTTATGAAAAATATTGGATTTATCTCTAATTAAATACAGGAAATCATTGAAAACGAATCAAACTGTTGAATAAAGAGTAGTTATTATCGGCGCGTTCTTTACTTATTTTTGGTCCACATTTTTCTCTTAAAATGTTTTGCGGTTTGGTTTTACTCGACGTGATAATTGATGTTTGAGATGACATGATATTAGATGTTTGAAAGTCATTGTCATTATCATCGCATAGCTCTTCAGCGCTTTGCTCAGTGTCTGATGAATGTGACGATTCTTGTATTTCATCGATCTCTTCATCACTCGTATTATCATCAGCGCTGTCAATATTCAACATGTCCTCGAGTTGTTGTCGACTTAACACAGTTTTGCGGCTTATTTTTAATCACAATTAAATGTACACTATTATTAAAATGTTGTTTCCATGTGCTTTCCCATTAATTGATAGAAGTGTATATTGAACCGTAATAACGTTTAGCTGTAACCCCATATATCTATTTAAATGGAAATATGGGGTCAAAGATAACTACAACATAATTTATGTTCAATTCAATCAATACAAACAGCAAAGTTCATAATACAGCGCATGTCATCATCAGACACATACAATCCACTCATAGCACTAAA